TTCTCCCTCTCCTTCTCCTTTTGTGTGGTACTATAGACAGAACTGAGCTACATCCTCATCTCTTTCTAGTTCTTATTTTGAGACTAGGTCTCACCAAGTTGCCACATTTTCCAGGCTGAACTGGAACCTGTGATCCTCCTGACTCAGCCTTGAAGAGTGCAGGGATTACAGGCATGCACCACTGCACTCAGCAACAGAAACTTTCTAAGGGCCTCAGTGAGGCCCGGAAAAGGAGGCCGGCAGCATGGAGGGAAGCGGGCACGACTCTCCTCCCAGCTGAAGCCGGGTCCTGCTGCTTCTGCCAGCCTTGTCTCACCAGCGCAGGGACAGGCTGGCCTCCTCCCCTCCTCCTGGCTCGGGCCGCAGGCTGCCCCTGTCCGTGGTCTGTCTGGGGGTGGAGGCTTAGGTGTTTGGGGAACGGCACTGCCATGCAGCCACGTGCACACTCGCGCGGCAGGTGCACACTTCTGCGTGCATACAAGCACACGGGAACTCAGGCAGGCACCTGTCCCACTCCACAGTATTCATTCAGTCAGTCAGTCAGTCACAAACCTGTGCGAAGTGACTGCTCTGCCCCAGGCCCTGGCCAGGAGCTGGAGTTAAAGCACAGGCAAGACAGACCCAGACAGTGGTGCCGGGAGGTGTCCAGCTCATGTGCCCAAATGGGAGAAGACATTAAAATTGTGTAAGTCCCATGGTGCAGAAAACCCCACTGGACTATAAGAAAAGGAAGTGGGGGGCCCTGCAGAGCCTCACAGGTGTGCAGCCGGCACCCTAAGTGGTGAAGGCAGTGTCTTCCTGCCCCTCTGGCCTGCCGGTTTCCTGCCCACGTCCCCGTGCCAACCTCAGGCCTTGCAACACCCCCAGGCCACCCCCCCCACAGCACATGCTGCGCCTGTGGTCACCCACGCGTGTGCACCCGCACTCAGGCTCGCAGGGCTCCGACTCCCTCCATGGACGGCCGCTCCCTGCGATCGTGGGAAGATTCGCACGCAGGCGCAGGCGCAGGCGCAGGTGCACACGGTCACTCGCGATCCTTCCTGCCCGCCCCCCACAGACCCTTGCTTCACGAGAGCCACACACAGGCCCTCGCACCCTGTTGCACACACACATGCATGCACACACGGTCTCTTTTACACACAGGCGGCCACGCTCCTGTTAGGCTTCTGGAGACAGGCGTGTGCAGCCCCTGATCACAGCTAAATGTCAGCGAGCCCCTCTCCTCCCAGTTAGAGATGAATTGTTGCTCGGGAGATATTTCATCCTTAATGCCTCCCGCTCGCACTGGAGCATGCGTCTCCAGGAGGTTACGTTTCTCCCAATCTGTCTGCTGGCCCTGGTGGCTCAGGACCTGCCCTCTG